GCTCTCATTTACTCTGCTAAACAGGCATGGGTGATTGGTGTAGGCACAGGCATTTGGCTGCAGCAGGGGTACACACTCTGAGCAAGGTAGGGGGCTGACGGCCACCCCAGACTGTCCAGGAGGAAGGCGTGTTCCTGTTCCCTAGAGTGCATAGGTGGGCAGGTTTTGCAGCCGGACTATAAGCACCTAATGCTGTTGGCTGTAAGGACTGGGGGGCACCTCGTATTCATGGGCCCCTATTGCAGGTGGCTAGGTGGTGTGGGTGGAACAACCAGTCCTCAGGCCCCTGATGTGGGTATGTGAAGACCCTACTTAATGGGCAGAGCAGTGTCAAATATTACAAGCCTGCGCTTCACAGCTGAAATAATTGAAGTTAGACTTCTGGTACATACCCCGTTGTACTGCTGTAATGAGAGCCTACTCTGTTGAGATGGGCCCAGGCAAGTCTTCGCAGGGGGAAAGGCACTCAAATTCTGTGGATTCCTTATGCCTGTGCCTAGACAAAGGAGGTGTGCCTACCCTAGGTTCTTGGTTTAGGGGAGCCGGCAGTTTATTTTTTCCCGTTTGTTACTTTGTTCACTCTCCAAGGCAGGGAGAATAGCTCCGGGCGTGTGATGGATCCTGCTTCCTGCCCAGGGGACTCTGCAATTGCTGAGGCCCGTCCAGGACCCAGTGCTTAGCAGGGAGCAGGGAGATAAATGGGGAGAGGTTTTTCCCTAAGGGGGGTGTTTTTGATCCACGTGGTAAGCCGTAGGCAAGTACTTATCTTTAGTGGAGGGCTGCTTCTCACTGGATCTGGGTGGCCGTGTAGACTCTCTGGTGTTGGGTCTCTCCCGGTGCAGAAAACTCGCCTCCTGAGCACTACTGCTTGCCTGCCTCACTGCTCACCCCGGAGCTGATTAGGCTTGAAGGGCTCAGGCTTTTACTGGGTCAGGTCTGGCAACTCCTCGCTGCTTCTGAACCGTCTCTCCCTCTCCCTGACACTCCGTCTGGTTCCTCAACTCTGCCTTTGATGCTCAGGGCTCCCAGAGCACCATGTATAATTGAATCACTTGTTTTTTGGGGTCTCTGTTGTAAGAGGGTCCACCAGAAGTGTCTGTCTACTCCACCATCTTGGCCCCGCCTTCTCTTGTTCATTCTTTTGGCAGTCCATAGTATATTCAATATTCTTCGTCAACACCACAATTCAAAGGCATCAGTTCTTCTTTGATCTTTCTTATTCATTGTCCAGCTTTCTCATGCATGTGATACAACTGAAAATACCGTGGCTTGGGTCAGGTGCACCTTAGTCTTCAAGGTGACATCTTTGCTTTTCAATACTTTATAGAGGTCTTTTGCAGCAGATTTGCCTGAATACCAGTGGCATAGCTTCCAGCATCACAGCAACATGCAAGCCCCCACAGTACACAGTACACACAAATTGACAAACACGTCCTCTGATACAGGCATGCACGTATAAACACATTCAAATGTTATTTTTGTCACTGTTGTTAGTTGCCATGGAGTCAATTCCTATTCATGGCGACCCAGTGTGTGCAGAGTACAACTGTGCTCCATAGGATTTTCAAGGCTGTGATCTTTCAGCAGTAGATCACCAGGTCTGTCTTCCAAGGTGCCTCTGGGAGGGTTTGAACTGCCAACCTCTCAGCTAGTAGTTAAGCACTTAACTGTTTCAGCCACACAGAGACTCCTATTGGGTGGTTTTATTAGAGAGAAGAAAGCTAAGGGATCGTCATATATAAAGCACAGGAAAGTAGGATGTATCAAAAAGGAGAAAAGGATTGTTCAAAGCTGCACTGGTAATAGAATATGGTTTACTTACTGAATGGCATTGTACATATAATTGAAGATAATATAAATCTATAGCAGATTTTTTCTAGGATGCCAAAAAAAGAGTAAAATTGTAAATTACTATAATGTTTTGGGTATTCTATTACTGAGCATCTAGAAAGTATCTTAGATGATATAGGTAATTATGCCCAGCACTCAACCCAAGCTCCAAATAGAATGGAGAGGGCATTTAGTGGCCTTAATAGGGCATGTGTAAAGTATGCTACTAATGAATCAATTTACATTTTTTACATTTTAAAAAATAAAAATAATTTGATATGGCTTGGAGATCATGGGGTACTAATACTACTAAAGCATACAGCTCCTACTCCTCTTTCCTGCCCTTCAATTACAGGCTTCATCAGGTTTCCTAAGTGTGCCTGCCACTTTGTCCCTTCAGTCCTGGGCAGTATTAGCTTTCTGCTGTTGCAGACTCTATGTTGCTTCCCCATTCCTTGTCAGTTTCTCCTTAATATTGCACACACTTTATTAATAGTCATCAACTACATTTCAATTACTCCTTTTTAGTGTGTCATGGTTTTATCCAGTACCCTGATGGGTAGATTATGAAAAATCATATACTCTTATAGACCTCAAACATGTATCTAACTAGGAGGGCACAAAGGCTTCCGAGCAAATTTTCATGTCTGAAGAATTAATATCAAATATTAGATATATTGATAATCTTAAAACAAAATCAAGGAAAGAGAACTTTGTCTTTTTTCCCCGACATCATGGATTGTATCTATTTTGTTGATGTTTTTAAGAGTCTCTAGGAACATTCATGTAATACCCGTGCTCAGAGTGGCTAGATGCAGTTGTTATAAAGTCCATTGATTACCCTTCTTTTCTATGAGCTTTCAGCAGGAACAAATGAAGAAGGACATGAATTTCTCTAATGTCGAAGCATGGGAAATGTTTGAACATTACCAGTTTTGCAGTAAATTTTGATTTTTAGTTTATACTTTGATGCATTTCACATGATTCTATTAGTACTTATATAATGCCACAGGGCAGAAGAAGCAAAACTGTTATGCATATTGTATAGATAAGATATTACATGACTTTCTCCAAATTGAAGATCAAATTCATTGCTAAACCGATACGCCTGCACTACATCTAAGGCTTTTTCTTCACAGGATTCTTCCTCACTCTTAGTGGACCCAGTATATTAGCCTGTTTACTGGACTTTGCAATAGGTGACTAATTTGGTCATATTTTACCTCAATATTAAAGAAGCGTACACTTAACTAATACTGAAATAGATGGCAACGGATTCTACCCTTAGATACTTTTGTATTTGATGACCTCTGTCATATCTCATCTCATGAACTCATTGGAAACCTTCTTATGTAACAAAATCAACATCCAGAATCACTATTTTGTGTTAGAAAACTGAAATGTTGACAAATTAGTCCCATTTCAAAGATTTTTAAAAATTGATGAAAATTAGAAATGAAGTGTCTAATCCCTTTAAAGATTAGGGGATTGAGGCACAAAGACATAAAGCATCTTGCCCAAGTTCACACAATGAGATAGTGGTGGAAATATAGCTAACACTACTAGTCTAGTTCCCTATCCTGTTAATTCAGAGCATTAAACAATCAGAGGAAAAAAGATCAGAATTAAGAACCACATAAAATGTCAAAAGTTTCCATAATTGCTTCTTTTGCTGCTAAATCCTTCAAGGGTGGAAGACCAAGCTCAGAAACAGAAGTTTGCATTTTATTTGACCAGTCATACTGCAAAAGACCTCAATACAGTGTTAAAAAGCAAAGATGTCACTTTGAGGACTAAAGTTCACCTGACCCAAGCCATGGTATTTTCAACAGCCTTATATACATGTGAAAGTTGGACAATGAATAAGGAAGACTAAAGAAAAATTGATGTATTTGAATTAAGGTGTTGGTGAAGAATATTGAATATACCATGGACTGCCAGAAAATCAAACAAGTCTGTCTTGGAAGACGTGCAGACAGGGTACTCCTTGGAAGCAAGGATGGTGAGACTTCATCTCATGTACTCTGGACATGTTATCAGGAGGTACCAGTCCCTGGAGAAGGATATCATGCTTGGTAAAGTAGAGGGTCAGCAAAAAAGAAGAAGACCTTCGATGAGATGGACTGACACAGGGGCTGCAACAATGGCCTCAAACATTGAAACAATCGTGAGGATGGCACAGGACCAGGCAGTGTTTTGTTCTGTTGTACAAAGGGTTGCTATGAGTTCGAATCGAGTTGATGGCACCTAACAACAACAACAAATTGCATTACATATGTCAGTTTGGGTGGACCTTTAAGGTCTTCCATCACAACAAGGATGATATGCTATGTAACTTGATCAAAGAGGCCTTTCCTTATTTTCTACCTATGCTACCAAATGGTCTAAAGTTTTCACCCAACCATTTTATACTCACTGGTCCTCATCTCTCCCATCAGTAAAAAGGAATAGTTTATATTAGGTAATTAATGAAGGTCCTTCCAGTGTAGTCATTCCATATTTTTTTTAACCTTTTCAAATAGGGAATACTTCTTTACACTATAGGCTGCACTATTTGTGAAAATTTCCAACTGTGGTAGAATTTTCCTAAATATGTCAATGGTTCAGCATTTGAGTGGAATTTCTATTTGAACCAGTCACCTTGCAATTATTGCAGATGTCATCCCTATTCAAGTTTCTTAAATAAGAAGGCTTCTAATGTCTATATTTTTAAATAAATTCTCATTACATTTTTTCAGCATGGAGAAGAATGCTAGGAAGTCACTGGCTAGCTGTGGGGACAAAGTTGGAAAAAAATCCATAAACTTTTCAGAAACTGTACTATTTTAAAGAGCACCATTTTAAAAAATGGAGAAACTATTTTCAGGAAGAAAATTCAATGGAAAATTACCCTTTGTCCCCATTGCTCTGTCACATATTCTGTAAAAGGCACGATTCTCAGTATCAGTATCTTGAGTCATTTTGCGGTGCTGCTAATCACTTTGAAATTTTAAATGCTTCTTGGGAACAGCCAAAGAACCAGAATTACTTCTTTTCTGAACTAATGGAGGCAACCTTAGCTTTATTTTCAAGTGGATTTGTTGAGCTGATCACATCTCTAAATTGCAATGAAGTGATAATTGGAGTGAAAATATCTACTTTCCTGTAAAAGTGAAATTGAAATTGCCTACCTTGATTTAAAGCTGTCAGGCGGCATGAGTTCCAAAGTATGAGTTGGTCCATATAGGTTTACAACATATAATTTTATTGTTGGGTTCACTTGACCTGCCTTTGAGAAAACAAAAATTGTAGGGAAAATTCATTAAGCAGTAGAATATATTGAGAAATAAAGTGATTGCATTTTGATTCTTTTACTTTTTTGTGTTAGAGGGGAAAAGAAAGCTTAATTTCTCTAAAGCAGAAATGATTTTAAATTCAACAACTTGATTGCTTTCCATTGTTTTTGCAAATTGCTGCTTCTCAGGCATTTTAGTCAAAGACAATTAAAAGTGATAGAAAATCATGATGACTTTATTCATTAGAAAGTGTTACTGTGTTCTTTTCCTAGAATGGCACCAGAAAAGCTGGTTTTACAAAACAACTTGTAGATCAAACAGCTACTCGCATTGTAGGATATAAAATGAAATGGAAAGGCAACTTGGCTAATTAAAAAAAGAAAGAAAAGGAAAAAAGAAAACCTATTCAATCCAGGTGCCATGTTCTTGAAATTCCATTATATGAAATTTATTCCATTGCATTTAACTCCTACAGTTATTTTAAACTTTAACAATTACTAGGTAGGGTGACATATAAGTGACCCTTGGGAGATGGGGAATGGGTAGACTGCCCTCACCAAGCACTTGGAGAAAAGAGTAGGAAGGCAGTGCTAATGACATGTAATTTGAGTGAAGTGAATCAAAATTTTCTTAAATAATAACTAGCACATGTAGTAGTTACCATGGCCCAGGCACATGCTGTTGCTGTTGCTGTTGTTGTTAGGCATTACATGAATTAAGTGTCCCGACTACAGTCCTAAGATATACTTATGGTCATTTCCCAGGTGAAAATGGAGAGGCTACACAAATCATGCAAGGTGAAATATCTAATAATTGAGGGAGCCAGTATTTACACCCAGGACATGTTTCACTGAAATGCCATAGTTTTGCTTCAATTCATTCCCAGGCAATGCCCCCCAAAGATTTTCTAAATACACTATAAGCTCTTAAGGACAGGTATTGGAACTTTCACCAACATATCTCAGGCAATTTCCAAATACCCAGTAGCTATTTGTTGAATGAATATGCAAACGAATAAGTGACTTACTGAATCACTTGATTTCTTGTATGTCAATGTGCTCCTAAACAATGCTCTATTATCATTGTGATATGACTGATGCTTTAAGAGAAGACTATATGACATATGCAGAGGAGGAGGAAGAAATTAAAAGTGAGTTGAGTAAAAAGACCTGGCAAAAATCTACAGAGAATGGTAAAACTGGTTCCATGTTCAAGGAACTGTTATTGACAAAACCCAGAGCCAAATCAGAACCAGAAACAACATCATATGTTCAACCAGTCATCAGTGATATCTCCTTAAGAACTGTTGTCTTCAGTTATCAAAAGATACTATCATTTCATTGCTAGTTTCATTGCTTGGGAACCTCCAGTGTCTGTGCACATTTGTCTTGAATAATTTAGCCTTCTACCACACTTAGGGAGCACTGGTGGCACAGTGGTTAAGAGTTCGGCTGCTAACCAAAAGGCTAGTAGTTTGAATCCACCAGCTGCTCCTTGGAAACCCTATGGAGTAGTTCTACTCTATGGGTTTGCTATGAGTTGGAATCAACTCGCAATGGGTTTGTTTTTTTGTTTTTGTTTTGGACCACACTTAGAAAAGCCCTTTCTTTTATAAATAATTTATTTTATTTTTTGTTGTTATTGAGAATAAACACCAATTCAACAATTTCTCCATGTACAATTCAGTGACGTTGATTACATTCTTCAAGTTGTGCAACCATTCTCACTCTCAGTTTTTAGGTTGCTTCTCCCCCATTAACATAAATTCACTGCCTCCTAACTTTCCTATCTAATCTTCTGAATTGCTGTTGTCAATTTGATCCTATATAGGTAGATGGTAAAAGAGGACGATGTTCAAGGCAGTCATTGTTTACTAGTTATGCAAAATTAGTTTGGTTTTAAGAAAACTTCAGGGGATGTTTTTGGTTTAATTTAAGTTTAAAGCTTAAAGATTATCTCAGGGCAATAGTTTCAGAGGTTTATCCAACCTCTGTGGCTCTAAAAAGTCTGCAGTCCACAAGAATTTGAAATTCTGTTCTGCATTTCCCCCCTTTTGATCAGGATTGTTCTATAGAATCTTTAATCAAAATGTTTAGTAATGGTAGCCGGGTACCATCCAGTTCTTCTGGTCTCATGGCAAAGGAGGCAACTGTTCATAGAGGCAATTAGTCACACATTCCAATTCCTTCTCCTATTCCTGACTCTCCTCCTTCCTCTGTTGCTCCAGGTGAATACAGAACAATTGTTGTACCTGGAATGGCCACTTGCAAGCTTTTAAGACCCCAGGCACTATGCAACAAACTAGGAGGTAAAACACAAGCACTAAACACATTACTAGGCCAATTAACTGGGATGTCCCATGAAACCATGACCCTAAACCTCAAAACCAAGGACCCAAATCCCATGAGGTGTTTGGTTGTACATAAGCAGCCTCAGCAGCTACTCCAAAAGGTGGAAACAACCCACATGCCCATCAAAGGATGAATGGATAAACAAATATGGTACATATATACAATGGAATACTACTCAGCCAGTAAGAGAAATGAACTCTTGATACATGCTACAATATGGATGGAGTTTGAAGATATTATGCTGAGTGAAATAAACCAATCACAAAAGGACAAATATTGTATCACCTCACTTATATAAAAAGACAAGAACAGGCAAAGTTTTTTAGTGGTTACCAAAGGTAGGAGGGAGGGGGAAAGGAGGGGTTATTGCTTATAGAGTACTAAGTTTCAGTTTACAGTGGTAGTAAAAATTGCATTGATTAAGGGTAGGGTTGCTCAGTTGATTAATGTAATTGCTGTCAGTAAGTTGTATACCTGTAAAAAGTTAGTTGACCAAAGTTGTGTGATAGATATATTTACAACAACACACACACAAAAAGAAAAGCCCTTTCTTATTACTATTGTTTTCATTTGTCATTTTTCCTCCCCGAAAATATTGACTTTATCCATTTCTTTTTAGTCTATTCATTTTCTGCTTGATCAGGTATGTTCAGATTTAGAGCTGGATCCTAGTATTTATCATTGCCACTCAGAGCGTGGTTCCTGGACCAGCAGTATCAGCATCACATGGAATCTCAGAAATGCAGACACATGAGCCTCACCTCAGACATACTAGATCAGGATCTCTGGGCATGGGCTCCAAAATCTGTGCCTTAACAATATTCCCAGGTAATTAGTAGGCAAAATGTTACAAAACACTGGCACATACACACACCCACACCCAAATCCACACCCATACACATGTACACACACATACACACACGTTATATATACACACATATACTGTATATATATATATAATATATATATATATACATTTGCCTTTCTAGCAAGTTGAGTTCCCATGTGATATTGCTGATACAGGGACTGAACTTTTAGAACTTAAATGGCTTAAATTTGGCTTAAATTTTGAGTCGGAGATATCCATGTTCAAATTTTGACACTGTTATTTACTTAATATGTGACTATGGGCAGGTTGTTAAAGATCAAGTATTATTTCACTTAATTGTCAAAGATGAGACCACGCTTCTCTAGGAATAGGTCATAGGTCAGAAGTTTTGAGTTAAAGACCGTTTCCTTTCTACAGATAAAGATATCTGGTAGGTTTGCTACCTGGACTAACACAGAAGATGATTTATACAGAGTGCCTAGAATTGTGTACATTTGTGAACTGATAATTAAAAATGATGGGAAATTTGGAAATGGATAGTGGTGATGGTTGAACATCATGATGAACAACAAAAAAATGATAGTTATTATTAAAATATAAAATCTTATTTTTTAGTTAGTGATGAGCTCTGTTTATATCTTTATAATCCAATACACTGGCTAATGAAAAAGAGAAATCAAATTAAATTTGATCTTTCTGTGAAATTTCAACAATGATGCATAATTTTATGACATACTTTGTCAAATACATATGCAGTTATTAGCATATCTTTAAGGCAGTTTTTTTTCATGTCAGTAGCCTTGTAAGCTTATACCTGTAAAGGACTGCTTATACCCTAATTATCTTCTACTTGAACACAGATTAAAAATTATATACACACGGGGCCAGTTTTTAGACAAAAAGTAAACAGCTCAACCAAGTATCAGGCTGTCACCAAAATTCAGCTGTTAGGCATTCTAATTTCATTATCTTAATAGACAATTAGATTTATATTTCCACAGATTTTTGAAATTAAGTGCACATTGCAAGTTCATTTGTACCTTTTAATATCTGAAATTGTTTCAATACTTTGCAAATTAGCAGAGTTCATCTATTTGCTTTTTACGGACACATTTGCCACAAATACTGCAAATTCACATAACTCCTCTATGATTCTGAAACACAAGGTTCAGTAATAATTCACCTTATTTTACTAGCAAGTAAACTGTCATTAAACAAGATAATGTTTTAATTCAGAAGATTAACCTGCGGTTACTGAGATAGAACTGTGCATCTCTATTGTGCTGAGCTGCTAATGATAGGATATTTTATGAGTTCTGAATCATGCTGAATTAAGTAAAATATAAATACATTTGTGTAGTGTAAGTATTTCATTAGTAAATCTAACCACATTGGGTATTTGCTACACTCATTTTAATCTAGTTTAATTTGAAGCACAATTTAGTATGAGCTCTATGAGTTACTTCAATTTCTAAAGCACCACTTTTCAAAAGTTTATGGCTTAAGTAAGAGCATGTCAAAACAATTCATTCGTTACTAGAAAAGCAACATTTTTTTTAAACAGAGTAGAGAATAATGAGACTTTGAAAATTCAAGTAACATACTCAAAATGACACTGAAATTTATCCTGAGAACCAGAACCATAACATAAACTTACTTCCTTTGAGTCCTGTTGTCTTAACTACCTGGAAAGGTTTTGCTACATAAAACCACCTGAGGACTTAGAATTCTTTCTTTTGGCTTTGGCCTCCACAATATATTTTTTTATATTTATCTTCATTATTCCCTATACTGTTCAATGGTAGCCATTTATACTCAGGACCTTCATCATTACATATGCCTATGTCTAGCAGGGGTGAGCCTAAGTACCTAAGTATTTAATATACCCATATATAGCTAAGTAATGAGCAGTAAATGGAGAAAACGACTCTGTAAGTATTTATTGACTTGGCCAAGGAGCTGTTTTGATTCCAGCTATCTCTTTTGAGTCACATGTTGGCCTTTGGCAGTTGTATAAACAGGGATGGAATCAATAAATTTGAGTTATTTTCCTGATTTAAGGCAACTTCTGTAACTTTGATAAAAAAACACATAGCCTTCTAGAATCTCTCTTTGCACATTTGTATAACAGAGACAATTTTGATGAGGACCAAATGAAGTAAAAAAAAAAGAAAAAGTCATTCGGAAAACAGAAAGCATATTATGACCACATGTGATTTAGAAAATTGATAAACATTATTATTGTTATTATTATTATTTCTATGGCTATCTTAACCATAAATCATATTAAATAGTTAAATCTTCAATTATTAAATAATAATTAAATAATAATAACAAAGTATCTGATTAACAACCTAGCATCTTCTGAATTATTGCTGACAAATTTCAATTTTCTCAGATGTTTATCTTTGTTCACTTTTTTTTTTTGTCATAGTCTTGCTAAAGTTATGAGGCCTAGGAGTGCCCAAGTTCAAGCACTACCAGGGCACAACTGAGAAGGCAAATTGAAGTTGAGCAAACACACAATTTTTTTGTGTGAATCCTGACTCCTCTTGGGAAAATTACAAAAAGCTACCCCCTCCTTAGGGCTTATGTTAGCTCCCTTTTGTGCAGTGCACAAACTGAGCAGCTGTATGTGAATATCTAGCCTATTGACATACCTTGATAAGTTGCAAATTGCCTTTCACAATCAGCTACTTGCTATCCATTTTCTATTTAAATTGTCAATTAAACTTTCATTATTGTAAGTAATTCAAATTATGTGAGAATTAATATATTTCAGTTCTATTTTCAGTCATTGTTCAGTCTTTTCAATCCTTCTCTGGAAAAAAAAAGTGCAGATATACTATACAAGCACAGATTGTCACCCATCAAAACAAAAAGTGGGGAGGGGCTAAATCTTAAGCATTAAGTTCTTTTTGAGAGTAAAAAAAAATCACTTGGAGAAATGTTTATTTTGATGTTGGTCAAATTGACATTTACTCCTGAAGAGCACGGAAGATAATTGCCATCTAAACTATGTCCAGAGCAAACCCTAAATGCAACATTTTGAAATCATGGAATCAGATTCCTCTTAATTCTGCTGTCCTCCTTAGCTGAAAGCCTAACACTACAGTTTAATACTTCAAGTGTATTGGTTACCATAGTAGGGTCTTACAGGATTTGAAGAAGTCTCCTCAACTAGTCAAAAACACTCAGAAACATAAGCTCAGGGAGCATACAAAAAGAATGAGAACTAAGGCAGAGAAATGTCAATCATTTATGAATGGTCAAGAAAATACAAACTGAAACCGTTTATCTAAACCTATGGAAGGAAGACAGGAGTGGTAAAGAAAGAAAGGCAGTTTAGAATATGTCAGTGAAGAAAACACTCATCTTGTTTCTGACTCTCTATGTTCAAGCCTTTATTTTTGTTCCTGGGGTAACTTGAGTCCTATGGATGATAGTAGAATGAGGGAAGTATAAATGACTTTACCCACCCACCCCAACACACCTTTATTGCAGACTTAGAGTAACAATTTTGATGGGTAATTTATTAGGTACTTTGCCCAGCTAATGTAATCCATAATTGGAAGGTATAAAACCCATCATGCTTGGAAAACACGAAGTACAGCTCACTGAAGGAATGGCTTAAAGATGGCTTGTAAACAAAATTAGCAGCTATCTCTCATTTAATTATGAGCTCAACTGTGTAACATGGAATTTAAAATGTTTTCTACAAGATCTTCATATAGTTAATGCCTTGGCAGCCTCACTCATGAGGTTTTTCCTTTGTTATATAAACATGGGAAAAGCAAAGAAAAAAAAAATAAAGGTACCTTGAGTAATTAAAGATAACATACAATTGAAAAACCAGTATACTCTATAGATTTTTGCAACTGGCTTTTAGAGGGCCACATGCAACACTTGAAAATATTTTCCTGTCTGGTCCATGTTCACCTAATCCAATAAAATAATTCCATTTAGCCTAGCTATCCCTGGATATGATTGTACCTTAGCATTTTATAAAGTATGTTTCAGGGTGTGCTCTGCCAAAATAATGCTAATTCTTTATACTTACTCTATTCTTTACTGATTCTTTATGCTTAGTGTTTTCTTTATTGGAAATTCTTTATGCTCAGCTTATTCTTTATTGGAGATTTATAATACACATTAACATAGAGTATATTAAGGGTGCTAAGAAATCAACTAAACACAGCTAGATTTTATTTTTTAACCTAGAACTTACAGCTTAGTGGACCATGGCACTTCCTCCTCCCTTATAACATCTATTAACAACTCACTGGTATACCTTGGGAAAAAAATCTTTGATCTGGCATCAGTGCTGCCCCTTATTTCTTTTTAACTGGAAGGGTTGGGAAGACAAGAATGAGAGCATTCAAGGAAAAGCAATGCTGCACAAGCGAAAATCCCTCACTCCAAAGCATCTTTACGTCCACATACCCAAGTACCCTATACAGACATCTGCAAGCTATAAAATGATGAGTCAGCCTACAAGAAAACTTCTTTTTCCTTGAAAAACAACTTCTTAATGGACCAACAATACTATCAATCAACTGACTGTTGCAGAGACAGGGAACAAACTAGCACTTAAACATTACTTACCTTAGGATATGGATACTGCTTTGCTTTGGGATACAATGCTCCAGTAAACCGAGGGATAACCATGGTAGGCACCAAGGAGTCATTGATCATCAGGAAGGCAAGCCTTTCTCCATCTGGTGACCACCAGTGGGTGATGTGAGAATGCAGAAGTTCCTCTAGAATAAATGAGTGTTATTAGAAACTAAGTCTAGCAATATGGGCTCAGTTACCCACAAACATCTGTCCCTTGAAATCACCAACATAAATTGTACGTATGTTTTCTAGCTAACATGTTGGAGTTTATCAACTTCACTGAGAATTCTCTATTCCTGAGTTACTCTTTTATTATCTCAAGAAAAGCAGATGCAGAGAGAGGAAAGAATGAAGCAATGAAGTCAGGATTTCATGGATTTTCAGCAATGTGAACAGAACAGATGAAAGCACTACTGGAGTAAAAAAGAATGAGAAGAATGAAGAGTCAGATATGACATAAAATTATATTCATGTCATCATTCATTCATATTTTCACTCAATAAAATTTCCATCCTTTCATCATCAAACAAGTTGAGGACCCACTGGATTCATTAAACCATACTGAGCTCTTAGGAAATTGAATTAAAAATATACTGGACATCTTCCATGTGACCCCAAATCCACTATCCAGTTTTCTACACCTGCTTTCTGGCTCAGGAAGTTAACTTGTGTGAACTACATCAACAGGGCCCCATGCCCTCTGGCTTCCAGTTGCATTTGACAACTACGGTGTTTTGTCAAGAGATTAGAGAGAAGAGAGTGAAGCCAGGCTATTTATTCTCTTGGCTCCCTCCTTCAAAGTCAGCTCAGGTTGGCTGTGTGCTTTAAATGATGTCACCCTCCTGCCAATGCAGCCAGCTCTACACGATTTTCTCCTACTGTGTCTAGTAATGGCTGGCTCATCTCTACAGATGAATGGGTGGTAACAGTTTGACTGCTACTAGTCTAGATTACAACACTTTCCTTTGTGGTTTCCCTACGCTTTTGCCTTTATAAATGGTATCTTTGTAAATAATTCTTCCTTAAATTATCCTACCCTGAATATGTCAAATTTTTTTTCTTTTGGGACCTTGACTGATATAGTAATTAATACCAGCAGCAGAATCAGAATATAGAGCCTCAGCATTAGATTCTGGGATTAGGTTGGACATACATATGAGGAATTTAATAACAATCACCTTTTCCTGGGAGAACTGGGACCTAGAAAATCCACAGCAAAGGGTGTGATCATGATTTATCAGTTTTCACTAGTGTAACATGGAATGAAATTCAGGTCATAAGGAAAGGCATTGGGAGTACAAGTAGATATGACACTTATTTGCTATAAAAAAAAAATGGTGGTTATAAAGATTATTAAGTCCACATAGTTCTTCTGACACTCCACAGAATTACACAGACCAAAAAAAAAAAAAAAGGAAAGAGAGAAACTGAAATTATGACCATGAAATTACTAACACATATTCAGCATAAAAGGTTACCATGGCATATTTGTAGTAGTCTTTCTTCTGTAGTTTCACTTCAGCACAGAGCTGGCTGAGGACCAAGCATATTATCCAATAGAAAAGGTTGCAGAGCTGCAACACAAATTACAGGCTCAACTCCACTTGGTTTTCTAAGCTAAGACAAAGATATTGGTGGAGAAGAACTGAGAACCAGGCACATAGGATAGGGATATTTGGGTAAACATGTGCAGTATACTCATGCTTTCTGGTCTAGTCTCATAAATAATACTTCTGTTTTATGGTGAAAGGCTTCTATATGTGTTAACGTTATAGCTAAAGATTTTGAACCTCAAAATTCCCACAGGCCTTCTTGTTGGCAGAGGCAACTTCTTTCAAGAGAACTAGGCCTCTTCTGCATAAAGACAGAGGAAGGGAAACAAATTCTTTTAAAAATTTAAGAGTTGGCAACACTGGTGACGTTTTCAGCACTCTAAAAGTCTGGAGCACACTGGGGTACCTCCTCAAAAGTGAGAGAAAAATTGTTGGGTCTGTATTTATATAAAAGTGAAGAAGAACTGGACTCTTTGGATTGTGGAGACAAAATAAACCACATTTACATTTGCTGCTCGGTTATATTTCACAGGTAACCCTTAAAACTGTCAGTTTTGAGCAGCACCTAAACAAGAGAGGGTTCGTAGAAGATCCAGGCCATGGTACAACCCTCCCTATCTCACACTTCTCATGACTCAGCAGATGCAAACAGAACTATGGCAAACCAAGATGCTATGTGGTGCCTCTGGCACTTCCCATATTATAATCATCGCAAAGGCATTAAGAGCTTTAGAGAAAAGTCATTCCTCCTATGCTGACAAATAGTTTCCATTTCAAAAGCAGCTCTTTCTACTTGTAGAAACAACTAACCTGACTATGGGACTCAAAGTGACTATGCAACCCAAACTGCCCATCATGAACTGGTCATTAACTCATCCATTGGCCATAAAGTTGAAACACACATAGCACCATTCATTACAAAACGGACACAGTATATATGTGAGTGGACCAGAAAGCTAAGTGAACTGTCTGTGGTTTTGATTCTCTGCTTCATTCCCTCTCCTTTATCTCATGCAAAGGCTCAAGGTGTATTTCCTAACAAAAGCTGACAGAGAAGGAATGAAGTTAGGACTGGTTCATGGATATACCTGCTTGGTTTACTTGAACAAACTGGAATTGGATAGGCTCTATACTAAAGTCTAACTCAGGAAAGGCATTGGAAGACAGTAATAAAGATAGGTCCTCCCAGTTGGCAGTATTTTGTCAAAATATTTACTTGTTCACTTTTCTGTGGAAAGAGGTTTGGCCTGAGTAACTAATAGATGGGCAGCTGATTAGGCATAAGTGAAGAGTAAAATCAGAAAATTAGTGACAAGGAGTTTTAGGGAAAGAGAATGGGAAAGTTTCATCAGAAGGGGTAAAAAATTTAAAATGTGAAGATAATGGTGTCTCAGTGTCCACTGGAACACATCCATGGTAGAGGAAGCTCTCAGTAATCAGATGGACATGATGGCTATCCTGTGCATGTCAGTCAGCGTCTTTCCCACCCCTGCCTGTGCTTTATTTATGGATCCATGGTAGAAGGGATGGAGGCTATGCAAAATCTCAGCAATATGGACTTTCTGTCATCAGGACTGATCTGGGTCCCACCATTAATGAGGGCCCAATCTGTCAAGAGTAGTGGCTATCACTGACCACTTCATATGACACACTTTCCTAGCAGGACCAGATGGCTATCTCGTGGCAAGTAGATAACATGGGAACTCTTACACCAAGATGAGTGGCATTTTGTCCTCACATATTCTGGGTGTGGATCTGACTTCTGTCAGTACTGCTATTCATGGATGTACAGAATAATTTATCTATTACCATGATAATCAACACTATATCACCTCCAGATAGGAAATACTTTATGGCCAAAAAAAAAAAAAAATGGCAATGGTCTCAGACCCATGGGATTCATGGATCTCATCATGCTCCCAATTAGCTGTAAGTACCTGACTTGGTAGAACAGTGAAATGTCCTGCTCTACCTCAGCTTCACAATATTTCATGGACAACAATCTTGAAGCTGGGATGTATTCTGCAGGATACAATGTTCCCCTCCTCTATAGCCAGAGGGTACAGATATAGGGATCAAGATATAGAAGTGGCCTCTCTTACTATCACATCAGTAACACACTGGATAATTTTTTTTTTCTTGTCCTTATGATATGGAGTTTCTTGGTTTAGAAGATCTATTGCCTAAGGGAGAAAAGCATCCAACGGGGAATACAGTTCCTTTGAATTGGAAGCTGAAACCTCCCCCTGATCATTATGGGCTTATTATGTTTCTAGGGAAAAAAAAAATGCCAGAAAATTCGGTCACGGTGCTGGGTCTGATGACTGATCTCATCTGCCTGGAAAAAAAAGTGTGTCTTCATTATACATTTGGAATTCAGAAGATTCACAAGTACTCGTCTGCCCAATAGTACTGGTCAATGGAAAGTTGAATGTGTAGCAACCTGATAAAGACAAAGATAGATAGGAATAAGCTTTGGCAGGAATAAAGCTCTGACCTGACCAACCAGGTAAACAACCTGTCTAGTTAACATGCTGGCAGAAAGTAAGGGATAAAATAATTGGATAGTTGAAGAAGGCAGCTAAGATTACCAGTGTAGGTCACATCACCAGCCTATTTCTTATATTTTTCCCACAATCTTATACGAAAAACACAAGGGGTGGCTAAAGTTTTAAAATATGGGAGGTGTATAAATGGACTGACATGACCATGCAGTGAAACACTGCAGATGGGACTTTGTGTGTTCTTCTTTGGGGACACAAGCTTTGTATTTGGACAAATAATGAACAGCTGATGAGGAACAAAAGGGGTTTCCTGTACCCATTATCTTCCATTTTCTCTTCTGAATCTTTTCTCCACACTTCTCCCAGTAAGCTGTCTTATATATATCATATCAGCAACACATCCATGCTCTCTGACTTTTAGCTGGGTATGACCAGCATGAAGCCAGGCAAATCAGACAGAGGGAAGGATGTGAGTGCATGGAATTTATTTTCTTGGCCCCCACCTTGGCTCACATCACATGGGTTTCACTGTGTCCCTCCATCAAAACTCACTGCTTCTATTAATGAGAAAGCTCTACAAGTTCTCTCCTTCTACCTTCTGGTATCTGCTACCTTCCCACATCACTTCACATGGTGAAGTGACAAATTATCGACTGCATAAGTCCTTGTAATTCTATATTGTATACAGCTCCTTCACAGAGAAAAAATTAAATCGTTGTGTTTTGAATACACTGTTTTTGCCAGCTGAGATCCTGGACCTGATTTATGCAAGGAATTGCAATTTAGTTAAGGAGACATGCATTATACACAAGACACACTGAGGGGGAAAATAATATTAACTGCCAAATGAGTGTAAACTCTTAGTGCTATGAGATTTCAAGGTATAAAGAGATTGTGTTGACTGGTGTAATTACTCTGGGTTTCTAAGAAGTGAGATCTATCATAGATGCTGAAGCATGTGAGCACAAGTATTACCCAACAGTTAAATCCTATGAGGCAGTTCTACTCTGTCCTATAGGGTGCTATGAGTCAGAATCAACTTGATGGTAACGGGTTTGGTTTTTTTGTAAGCATGGCCCAGATGCC